AATCCCCAGGTAATTCGAGCCTTCTCGGTGGCTGCTCCGACCCTCTGGAATGAACTCCCCGTGGAGATCCGGACCCTCACCACTCTCTAGACCTTCCGCACCGCCCTTAAAATCTGGCTATCCCGGCAGGCCTGCGGTTAAAGACTCTAACCCCTACTCGAATTGTATGACTGTTGAGTTCTTAAATGATGTTGTGTCTTTATGTTGTAAATTGTTTGTCCTTCCCCCCCCCCCCCTTTTTGAACTGGGAGCCGCCCTGAGTCCCCGCAGGGAAAAGGGCGGCATACAAATAAAGTGAAAACTAAAAACTAAACTAAACAAGGGCTTCTTTTGAGCATGTGTGTGAAAATCCCTTTAAGCATTATCACGAAAAGAAACTTAGGGCAATCCGACAACATGATAGAACCCTAGATATTTCGTAGAGAATGGCAGTCTTATATTGTTGGGTATTATTGTTGTTCATGTAAACATCATATTGATTTGCATTATTTAAGTTCATTGGTGGCTTTATCTTAGTAATTGTTCCCATCACAGCGCATCTAATTTGGGGCACTAATTCAAACAACAATCGAAGCGAACCTAATAAAACCTGCTTCTCAAAAGCTGAAATTACTCCCAATTCTAAGGATTATTACTAATTTTTTTTTAAAAAATCACCTGTTTCCCAAGATGGATGCTCCTGTCAACCATAGTCACCTGTTCAAATCAAGTGTTCTTCCATGTCACTTTTGAGAACATCCCTCAAGAATTTCCAAAATATTTTGCGTCTTCTCAGCCAACAAAACACTTGGGATAACTGCACCCCCATCTCCTTGAAACTGTTTAAATGACCCCCAATTTTTCTTCTTCTAGACACGGGCAGCCTACAAATGGACAGGCAAGAGGCACTTAGGTTGACCTCTGGAGAAGTCCACTGTCGCAGCCCAACCCACAAGGAGTCTGAACACATTCAAGGAAAGACCAGAAAGGAAGGCAACATATCGATCTTCATATCGATCAGAAGAAGAAGCCGAAAAGGTTCTTTCCAAATGCTCCTCGGTTGGTTCCTTGGTGGTGGCTGCTGGTGTTGCTGTCACCCTATCGGCTGGTGGTCGCCTGGGCTGGGAGCCCCGTTCCATTTGGATTCTCCGAGTCCTGCTGGTGGCTCATTCACTTTCTCTTCTTTGGGGGACAGCAACCGCCGTAGCTCCTCTTGGTCAGGGAGGGGGTTCTTGCCATACTCCATCTGGACCCACGTTCGGTACTGCCAAGACAAAATTCCAGAGGAGCTGTCAAGTGAGAAGGTTGGGCCAAGATACAGANGTATTAAATTTTGGTATATTTTAAGATGAAGGACGTCTAAACAATGATAAGTCAAATGAAACTGGGGATATGATGATGGTAACATATATAAACATTGGAGTTAAAATACTCGAGTTAAGTATGAACTATACTTGATGACGGTGGAAGAGATGCAGCTTTTTGTAACCAGCTGAAACACTTTCTACAGTATGTAAAGAAAGATTTTATGTGTGATGTTTGTTTTGAAAATTAAAAATAAAAGATTATTTTTAAAAAAAACAACCCTTTGGGGAGATCCTCTTCATCTACCTTCTTGGATAAAAAGTAACTTTTGAAATTTGATTTTTGAGTCTTGATAAGGAAAAACCCTCCAGGACAGGAGTCACCAACCTTTCGGACCTCAGGAACCACTAAATTCGTAATTTTAAATCCTGCGGACCACTAATGTGCATTTTTCAAAAAGATAAATAGTATTTAGGGCAATATTTTTTAAAAATGCAAATGATTTTTCTGTGGAGCACCAAAATTTTCTCTGCTTGGACCACTGCTCCAAGATATTGTCGCTACAGCATTTTTACCTCTGAAATTCCTACCCAGGCCCTTTCTCCCAGGAACACGGATTGTGTGCCCTGTGAGACCGCAACTGGGTGGGAGATCTTTCAGGCTGGGATCCAGGAATCAAATGCTCTCATTTCGGCAACGTATCCTGCCGTAGCTTTGATCTGCTACCAGCAGCGTTGTAAAAGTAATCTCTGCTTATCACATATCTACGATGATTTCCTGTCCCTACCAGAGGCAGAAGCCTATTTTGTCTCTCCGAGCCGAGTTCCCATGTGGGCTTCCTGTGTCGTTTGCAGAAGAGCCAGACAAGTTGTCTAGGCTGCTTCTGAACTTCCCCCATAAGCCATTTTTTTTGACCCACCGGCAAAATTGCAGATGCTTCTCCGTTGAGGCTGCAGGCCAGGCTCCCAAGCAAAGGAGCAAAGGGATTTGGCTTGCTGATTTGGGGAGGATGGTTCTTGCGCACAACTGCTCAAGGTTGACTCAGCCTTCCATCCTTCCGAGGTCAGTAAAATGTGAAGCCAGATGGTCGGGAGCATGAGGCTGACTCCGTAAACCACTTAAGGCTGTAAAACACTGTAAAGTGGGATATGAGTCTAAGTGCTATTGCTGGTCCTTCCTTCCTTCCTTCCTTCCTTCCTTCNACAAATCTATTTATGTATTTGACGTGGTAAATAAATACATGAAATGGATGGGCTTGAGTTTAGTAAAATTCAAAAAAAGGGGATAGAAAACTTCGTATTTGAGACTTCTCTGGATCTTAGGCCGAGCTACCAACAACCCAATCAAGGAATGCCTATGGTTACCATCAAAAGATGGCTTTTAATACCTTGAAAATAGATGCATCCACCTCTTGGTTATAATCCTGTTTTCCCGCATGTTTCCACGGGATACGAAACATGGTTTTCTCCTCATTCTCCCAGATCAAACCAGGATACTGTCCACTGTCAATTTGTTCAATCAGCCATTGTCTAAGCCGCCTTCCACCATTTCGGTCACACACCCTGTAAGGAGAACACGTCAACAGTTTTTTTTCAACACTTGTACTCTTTTGCTGTGGAAAGTTCCAGCCAAGTTTTTTTGTCAATATTGTCAAAAAATTCCATCCCTAATCTGGTGTTTCTCATCCATGGCTGGCTGAGGAATTCTGGGAGTTGAGGTCCACCCACCTTAGAGTTGCCAAGGTTGAGAAACCCTGCTTTGATCCTGTGCCCCATTTTTAACCCTCTTATGAAATTGAACAAACAGGTGTCAGCAGGGAGGACCTCAAGAAACAAGGTGTGCATTTGTGTAGTAAATTCAGATCTAGGAAATAATAAGAAAAAGTCTGGTGGTTGTAATATAATGTATAAACCACAGAGTACTTGAGGTAGGTAGACTGGCTTTATGAAATGCTTTTGTACCAAAAGTCATGAATTCAGCTCAAACATCTTTTATATTAGCAGATGTTGATGTGCATTCAAAGCTAGCTAGATAGCAACACTTGAATTCAATGTTGGCTCATTCTGAAACTGATCGGCAGAGTCAATCATAGTTAGAACTTGGATTTTGGGGCTGAAGACTAGGGGGAGAAATTGTTCCCGACGCCAGTCATAACAATTTCCGTGTTTTTGCATTATTGCTTCGAAGCAAAATGGATAACAAACACATCTGACAAATAACAATATGGAATGGACATGTCCAGGAGAACATGAGGAGACAGGTTTGACTTGAGGGTCAACAAGAGATCCAAATTAGGAACAATATTTTATAACAGGTGGAGACTTATGTCCTTGGGGAGCTTTTGAGTGAAAATTCTCAAATTGCTTAAATCAATATTAGGGAAAGATCAACACGACAAAACTCTATCTAAGCGTTTTCAAGGGCCGTGATTTTTCTTAAAATCAGTCACCAGAAGTTTCACTGAAGGCAAGAGACAGAGATACACCACAACTGAGGGGAAAAAAATATAGAACCCCCAAAACAGCACAAGAGAGGCGATTTCAACTGCATTTTAGGGAAGTCTCTTCACAAACAAGTGTAAAACTGTGTGAGAAAATGTATCAGCTGACTGCGGGGGGCAGGGGGGATTGCCCAAACGATCCTTAATCAAGAACTATTAACAATTTTCCCTGAAAAAGAGCTTCCTCAAAATGTTGTAAAAATCAGATTCCCCCCTCTCTCTCTTAATACAAATGGAAATCTTCAGATGTCCATGGTGGATAATCTATTCTAGAACACTAAGATTAAAGCTTCATGTTTTGTGATTCTTGTTGTTTTGTTAAAATAGGTGCAAAGCTGGGGCTTCTGCACCCATTTCCTAAACTGTAACCATCCCTACTAAGATAGATTGTTTATTTATTTGTTTATTTATAGATTTATTTGTTTATTTATAGATTTATTTGTTTATTTAAGAACAGGTCAACTGTCCCAACAGTATTTATTCACATGTCAATGCCCACTGTTCACCTGTGTTATTGCTAGCCCTAAACTCCAATGAGATAAGAGCTAAGCAGATGTTTTCTAATGGAGAGATATTTTAACAGAATAACAGAGCTGGAAGGGACCTTGGAGGTCTTCTAGTCCAACCCCCTGCTAAAGCAAGAGACCCTGCACCAGTACAAATAGTTGCCCAATCTCTTCTTAAAAGCCTCCAGTGATGGAGCACCAACAACTTCTAGAGGCAAGTCGTTCCACTGATTAATTGTTCTCAGTGTCAGGAAGTTTCTCCTCAGTTTGAAGTGCCAATTACCTCCCAAAGACCCATTAGATCACCCAGATCCGGCCTCCTCTGGGTTCCGTCTACCAGCCAATGCCATCTGGCTACGACCCGGGGGAGGGCCTT